TTCAAAATGTGCAACTATACTTGTAATTTATCATTGCATTCATATTTTTTAGATTTGCTTATACAAGGTGAGTTAAAAAAATTAATGAATGAGTCAATTTATTTAAGTTCCGTTAAGTTCAGTGGAAGTTCCGAGTACTCCACTACTAATCCGGACAGACGGCAGACAGACAGACAGACAGACGGAAACAGAAGACCTATTTCTTCGTACTCTAGGGTTAATGAAAGGTTGAAAAAACGTAAAAGTAGAGTCGATCGACGGTCCAAATAACTAAGAATTCAAAGTACCTCAATTTATTTCAATATTAGCGCTTTTTCGAAAAATCCAGTCAGCAGAATTGAAATTCACCATTTATACCCGCCCCAATCATGTTTTAAGTTTCTTGTTGTGAAATGAAGGCTACTTGTATAAAAAAAAGTAAATTACAAGCCCCGCCCACCCGCCCTATTCTTAGTTGTGATAAATTCTCATTCGAATGGATTTGTCTTTACAAAAATAAATATTGTAAGTATCTTGTCGTGAAATGAAGGCTATGTATATTAGGAAAAGGAGTCAAAATATAAGCCCCGCCCACCCGCCCCTCTCTCAATCGTGATAATTTTTTTTCCTTGTCAGGTCGATGGGCGAAGGTTAACTGGAAAATCGATTGTTTCCCTATAAAAATTGACCATTTTGAATGTGTTTTAAGGATCGTGTTATTGAAAGAAAACTATATATGTTTGGGAAAAAGCCCCACCCACCCCAAATCAACTGCAATGAACTTTCCATTCGTCGCCAGACCGAGGGGCGGAGTTTAATTGTAAAATCCATGTTTTTCTACAAAAATTTACCATTTATTTCGAAATTTGTGAAAAGAAGACTACGTAAATTAGCAAAGGAGGCAAAATATAAGCCCCGCCCACCCGCCCCCCTCTCAATGGTGATAATTTATTTTGTCCTTGTCAGGCCGTGGGGCGGAGCTTAACTGCAAAATCGATTATTTCCCGACAAAAAATGACCATTTTAAACGTGTTTTAAGGATCGTGTTATTGAAAGAAAACCATATATATTAGGGAAAAAAGCTCCACCCACCACAACTCAATTGCTATGAAGTTTTCATTTGTGGCCAGACCGAGGGGCGGAGTTTAATTGTAAAATCCAGGTTTTTCTACAAAAATTTACCATTTATTTCAAGTATCTTGTGAAAAGAAGACTACGTATATTAGCAAAGGAGGTAAAATATAAGCCCCGCCCACCCGCCCCCATCTCAATGGTGATAAATTATTTTTTCCTTGTCAGGCCGTGGGGCGGAGCTTAACTACAAAATCGATTATTTCCCGACAAAAAATGACCATTTTAAACGTGTTTTAAGGATCGTGTTATTGAAAGAAAACTATATATGTTAGGGAAAAAAGCTCCACCCACCACAACTCAATTGCGATGAAGTTTTTATTCGTCACCAGACCGAGGGGCGGAGTTTCATTGTAAAATCCATGTTTTTCTACAAAAATTTACCATTTATTTCAAGTATCTTGTGAAAAGAAGACTACGTATATTAGCAAAGGAGGCAAAATATAAGTCCCGCCCACTCGCCCGTTTTCACAATGGTGATAATTTTTATTCCTTGTCAGGCCGAAGGGCGGAGCTTAACTGCAAAATCGATTGTTTCCCTACAAAAATTGACAATTTTAAAGTCGTTTTGAGAAGCGTGTTATTGAAAGAAAACTATATTTTAGGAAAAAAAAGCCCCACCCACCCCAACTCAACTGCAATGAACTTTCCATTCGTCGCCAGACGAAGGGCCGAGTTTAATTGTAAAATCCATGTTTTTCTACAAAAATTTTCCATTTATTTCAAGTATCTTGTGAAAAGAAGACTACGTATACTAGCAAAGGAGGCAAAATATAAGCCCCGCCCACCCGCCCCCCTCTCAATGGTGATAATTCTTTTTCCTTGTCAGACCGAGGGGCGGAGCTTAACTGCAAAATCGATTATTTCCCGACAAAAATTGACCATTTTAAAGTTGTTTTAAGGAGCGTGTTATTGAAAGAAAACTATATTTTAGGAAAAAAGCCCCACCCATCCCAACTCAACTGCAATGAACTTTCCATTCGTCGCCAGACCGAGGGGCGGAGTTTAATTGTAAAATCCATGTTTTTCTGTAAAAATGTACCATTTATTTCAAGTATTTTGTGAAAAGAAGACTAGGTATATTAGCAAAAGAGGCAAAATATAAGCCCCGCCCACCCGCCCCCATCTCAATGGTGATAATTTATTTTTTCCTTGTCAGGCCGAGGGGCGGAGCTTAACTGCAAAATCAATTGTTTCCCTACAAAAATTGACCATTTTAAAGTCGTTTAAAGGAGTGTTATTAAAAAAAACTATATTTTAGGAAAAATAAGCCCCACCCACCCCAACTCAACTGCAATGAACTTTCCATTCGTCGCCAGACCGAGGGGCGAAGTTTAATTGTAAATCCATGTTTTTCTACAAAAATTTACAATTCATTTCAAGTATCTTGTGAAAAGAAGACTACGCACATTAGCAAAGGAGGCAAAATATAAGCCCCGCCCACCCGCCTCCCTCTCAATGGTGATAATTTATTTTTTCCTTGTCAAGCCGAGGGGCGGAGCTTAACTGCAAAATCGATTGTTTCCCTACAAAAATTGACCATTTTAAAGTCGTTTCAAGGAGCGTGTTATTGAAAGAAAACTATATTTTAGGAAAATAAGCCCCACCCACCCCAACTCAACTGCAATGAACTTTCCATTTGTCGCCAGACCGAGGGGCGGAGTTTAATTGTAATATCCATGTTTTTCTACAAAAAGTTACCATTTATTTCAAGTATCTTGTGAAAAGAAGACTAAGATTGATTTTGGTAAATGACTGAACAATATTAAGAGTAATCACCGGAATTAAGAGGGCCTATTGCTTTTTATAAAAGATTGTGAATGAAAAAGTTAAACTTAGCAACGCCCACCTACCCGTTCTCTAATTTTTTTCTTCAGAAATAAGAAATAAATGTTATAGAAAATTAGTAGGAGCACAAAAAAATACGCTTAAGGCTTTTTTTTTAACAGACTACCTTCTATTAATTCCTATTCTCACTATACAGAAGACATATAATTCAACCCGCTCACCCACCCCGTCTCCATTTCAGTGATTCATTTTGTGTAATCTCTCTCTAGTGGATCTCAATTGAAGAGAGACAGAATCGTAATAATGAGAACAGCGTATGTGAGCGGGACCAGTATTTCCTAAGATAAGATTGATTTTGGTAAATGACATATCTTCTAAGAAAATAGAGTAGGGTATAGCGAGTATTTGTTAAAATAAGATTGATTTTAGTAAATGACTGAAGAATATTAGGAGGAATCACTGGAATGAACAGGGGGTGGGTGGGCGGGCCTGTCTCTTGCTTATAAAAGATTCGCAATGAAAAAGTTAAACTTAGTTCCCATTCTCACCTTATGAAAGAACATATAATTTGCCCCGCCCACCCACCCGGACTCCCTTTCAGTGATTCATTTTGTCTAAAAAACTAGTAGTATAAATTCAACACGAAGTCATAAGCTACATGTGTAAGACTGTTATTTTATACAATTTAGAACCCTTTTAGTATGTACAATTTTGAAGCGACGTCATCACATTATTGGTGAGGATAATTAGACAAAATTTGGTGAGCGTGATATTCCTAATATAAATACAAAATTTGACAACAATCAGCCCAAAACTTTCGGAGAATTCACATATCTGTCTAATATAAATCCGGGGCGGCAGACAGACGGATAGGCGGACAGACAGACGGACATACGGACAGACAGACGAAACCGGGAGATCTATTTCTTTGTACTCTAGGGGTTATTAAAGGTCGAGGAAAGGTAAAAATAGAGAGTATTGTATAAAATGCATCAAAACTTACATCCACTTGCTTCTATATATGCGTGTCTTGGATATATACATATGATATGTTATTGCTGATAAAAGCCGGGCACAGAACCTGGAATCATGGCTGATTTAAACGTTTTGTTTACACCGTCGTCCTAGCCATTTCAGTCAATGGTACTGCGGTCCCGTTCTGACAGTGCTCGGCAGGAGTAACTCAAAATGTTCATGCTGCGCGAGATAGACGTAAAACACGTGTGATAAATATTCCTGAATAACCTTCTCGGTAATACGGACATTCGAAAACAACTAAACACCGCCTATATTAATAATATTCGGGCACATAACGCAAAGGTTGACAAAAATCGCCACATATTCCTCTGGTCTAAAGATAAGATTGTCAACCGGTAACAATTCGACACACTTAATTACGATTAAAGGCTTTCCTATTTCAAATGTGTGAATGATACTGTTTTGTCACTTCCCATTTGACCTCACGAGTCGATTTTTCGACAATTTATTTGTTGTCGTACTAAACACTCTAAGATTCTTTCTATTGCTTGCTTATAACAGATTCTGTATGAAAAAGTTAAACTTAGCCCCGCCCACCCACCCGTTTGGTAGTTTCGGATATTGTACCTAATAAAAGCGTTAACATAGTTATCACAGACAGACGACAGGCGATAGACACACGGAAACTGGAGATCTAAAAAAGTTGAGACTCCTGACGAGATTTGTTTTGAAGTTGTTTTGAAATTGACTTTTATTTTCAAATTATCAAAACCACACAACTAAGGCCAGGATTACACGTTGACTTTTTACTGAGTGCGGCGAAACTGGCTGAAGATATCACTGTTTTCAATCTGAGCGTTCACACATACTCGGTGAAAACGCCGCATTATGCTGCAGTTTGGCTAGATCGCCGGAAGGAAGAATAGCTGAGACAACATATTTGATTAAATGTAGACCATCACACAGCGTTTTTGTTGTTTTGGCGGACGCATTTATTGTGTAATAAAAATACGTAATAACCAGAGGCCGGTCAAAGCGGAGCAATCCACACAGTGCATGCCTTGCACTGCAAACATTAAGCCCGAGAGTTTACGTTGGCGATATTATTATTGAGTGCTGGTTACCTCTTTCCCCGTAGATGACCCTGAAGGTGTCCGAGTGCAGGTGTCCGAAAAACTGTCCGACGATGATGTCGGCGAACTTCCGCACCAGCTCCAGGTACTTTCTGTTATGGTAATCTGTGTAGACCAAATGGGCCGCGTGAGCCTGCGGGAATCCCCTCTGGCGTTCGTGAGATCCCGGAGGCATGTGACCGACGAGGTACACCTGCAACAAGCGTAAAATTTAAATGGACGTGTCTTCTGCCTTGACAGGATAATGTCGTTGTGTAGTAGGTCGGAAAATTTCACCACTTAGACTATCCGAGGTTAAATTATTTGGGAGAAATCTGCTCCGTCGAGATCTGCACTTACCCGAAATTCGCATTTGCTTTCTTTTTAATGTAGGACGAACGAGCTGAATAAAATATGATTTTGCTCTTTTGAAGCGGACGATCGAAGCTGCTTGATAGGCAAGAGGCGGTGCGAGGCGGCCGCATGTCACGCGTCGGATTCTCGTTACTAGAAGAATTCTAGACGACTTGAAAAGTATTATTATTCGCTAGACGCGAATGAGCGAAGGATAACGGATGAGGCAATTGAATGCGTGGGTTGTTTTCGTCCCACTTCCAGGAATAATTGAACTCAGTAATGATAAACTATTAATTGGCGAACAATGAACTGTTGTCGGGAGACAATATTAAACATTGCGTCCCATTTCATTGACGGCGGTTGTTTTCATCAAATAGATTCATAAATGTGAAACGGAAGCCAATATCTATTGGTGTGGACGGCTATCACATTATGTTTGTGCTTTGCTCAGTCCAGGATCAATATGGACGGGCCACAAAGGACCTGTTCGTTGCACAGCTTGTGATTACTGGATCCCAGCCAAGCGAGAAAAAGTGCTAATCACCACATCTCATAAAAGAAATCACCATCCGAAATCTCGGACCGGAAACAGCAGCCAAGGATTTTTCTCCGAAGCCTTCCAACTTTAGCAAGTGATAAGTGGATTTGTTGGTAAAAAACTGCGACAATGTAATAGATATTTTTAATGCAGCAGCTGATACTTGGCAAAGGGAACATAAAAAAAACACAAAGCAACTGGGCAAACGTGAAGTAAAAAATCTAAAATTCCCAAAACAATTTTATTATGTTTTCGACAGAAATATTTTTTGGTAGAGAGGCTCAAAATGCTCTGGACATTATAGTTAATAGTCAATACTTCTAATACTTAATTTTAAATAACTTCATGCGATCCATTAATCATGCAATGATGTATATGGTATAACGTACGCAAATAGATCAGTAATGAGATCATATTATGATACTATCACTTTTATCTTACCACTATCACGATTACTATAATCGCTAATACGACGTTGTGTGCCACAGGTCAAACAGTTATTAAGTGAAACTTGATTTATTGTTTGTGTGATTTTCGGTTTTCATGTTTGTACTTACCGTTTCTTGTTAATAGTAGAAGTGAGAATTAAAATGTCATGAAATAAAGGCGATTTTGATTGAACTAATTTTGAATTAACCAATAATTTAACTGTTAGACTGTCTAGTTAGCTACGTCCTTTGCGGGAATGGAAGTAAGCTTCAGGGACGTGAGAAGACGCCCTTCGCGCCGCTGTCGCTACGCGTCTTCACGCCACCTAGTTTGTTCGCAAAAGCATGCACCTCCCAAGTGGGTAACGCTAATCCACAACTTCGTAATTACACAGAATTACAATGTTGTGTCCTTTGGGTCCAGCAACCATTTTTTAGTCATTGTACAAATTGTCTATTGTCTTGGAATTTAAGATGTAATGGTATCATACGAAAAAAGCAGACACGCAGCCGTTATTACACCCAAACGCAACAAACGTTCCCGTAGTTTCAACAATTGAAACGAAGTTGAAGATAATTAGTATCGTTTGGAAACTTAAGAGGATATTTTCATTAAGAATAAAGTAATTAATTAGTGAAGCTCAGCGGTAAAAAGCAAACAAAACCCCATCCTCGAGTTTTAATAACAGAAAAGGAAATTGGACGAATTAAGGGTGCTCACTTTAATTATAAAAGGTGCTTTGGACTATTCCAATCGCTGTAAAAGAACAAAAACCTGTGCGCATTCGTCTACAAAGTACGGTCATTACATACCGCCATCCAGATGAGTTATAGTAAAAACCATACAACATTGACTATGTTTAAAATGGGCGATAAAAGCGCAAATAAATAAACCGAAAACAGGCACTTGAGGTTGATGCCTATTTTCGGTGGGGCAATAAATAACAGCAGGAAACGCATAACAATAGACATTAGACGTAAGCACAGGATACACAGCCAATAATTCAGCGTCGTTATTGTCGTGTCATTTTTTCGCCCTCTTTTCTCTGCGTGTAAATGCAGCGCCCTGCTAAGCTAAATCCATTATGGCTTGTGCAAGCGGTATGAAGCCGAAAAATGGAGCGAAAATAAGATGACGGCGGTATTTGTTGCGTGCAATTCGCTGGAATACATTCCGGTATTGTTATGGCCGAGTTCGAATTCGAATTTTATTAGTTTAGCGATGCGTAGGGGAGGAATGACGGTAAATTTTCAAATGATACAGATATTCGAGTGGAAAATATGTATCAAGTTTACATTTAGTGAACGCGGGCGGCAATGACTGACGTGTGTCGATTACCATATCAATCAAACGTATGATATTACATTTATATCCGCGTATGTCATGTTAATTCAACTTTTGAGTTAATGTTGTATTTTCAAAAATTATATGTTACAATATTATAATTTTATTAATATCAAAGTGAACATGAATTAGTTTGGTAAGGTCCAAAAACTGAGAGGCGGCACGTGCTCAAAACCTACTTCGACCCTATAATCGTTTATAGAAACCCTGCAAAATTAGATAGAGATAATTACAGCAGTGAATACAACATTTCAGAGAAAGCAATTCCTCAATTTGTACTTATTATATTCTCTTTGAAATTTACTTCGAAGTATGATTACAAAACATTAGCACGTTTATATCGTTATTGAAAATAAACTCATTCACTTTATTGTATACTAAATAATATTTAATTACGTAAAAAAGTAAATATCACGATCGTCGGACTAACACAAATATTAAATTATACTGAAATAACATTTTAGTAACAAACTAAAGAGAAAACCTTTTGTTATTAACACAGTGTTTAAAACCAATATTCAATTATGTCCAACTCGCTTGGACTTTAAAATAGCAAAATTTAAAGTAACTGATATCATATTGACAAAACACAAAATTGTTGTTGAATGAAATTTAAATTTTGATTTTAGGCGGAAATGTGAAATAAAATGGGATTTTTGAGCTTTTCAGTTCCACATAGAGTGTGTTTTTTTAATCATTCATAAGGTGGATTTATAAACTTGATGTTGAAGTTCTGTTGTAGTTGCTATTTCCGCTGACGTTGCTTTTAGAGCTGGAAATTCTCACTTATAAACTTCCTTGATAGTAACTTTGATGTTTCTTGTTATCGAAATAAGTCTACTCATATTAAGAAAGAAAGGCAAAATGTAGCCCCGCCCACCCGCCCTATCTCAATTGTGATGATTGTTTTTTATTCGTCGTGAGCTAAGAAGGCGGAGCTTAACTGCAAAATCCTTATTTTTCAACGAGAAATTAAAAACATATTTTTGAGTAACGTGTTGTTCAAAAAAATACTGTCTATATGAAGAAACAAATTAAGCCAATTCTCAATTGTGACAAATTTTTCATTCGTTGTCAGATCGAGGGGCGGCACTTAATTGCAAGTTCCATATTTGTCTAGAAGGTTTTACCATTTAAACATGTTTTAAGTTTCTTGTTCTGAAAAGATGACTACGTATATGAAGAGAACCGACAAAATATAAGCCCCGCCCACCCGCCCTATCTCAATTGTGATGATTTTTTTTAATCGCCGAGAGCCGAGGGAGCAAAATTTAACTGCAAAATCCTTAGTATTTCTCTACAAGAAATTACCATGTAAGACATGTTTTTGAGTATCGTGTTAAAAAAAATACTATGTACACATATTAAGAAAAGATTAAAACCAAAGATTAAGTCCCACCCATACCTGCCCTGATCTAAATAGTAATGAAGTTTTCAATCGTTAGCAGATCAAGGGGCGGAGCCTAATAGCAAAGGACCCGGGTGGGTTAGGTAGCTTCGTGCTTGCCTACTACACCTTGGGTCGTGGGTTCGATTCCCGCCTGGCTCTGGGTGTTGTGTATGTCCCCCGTTCCCCTGTAATTGGGCCACCGGGCCTGTAGGGGAACGTAATTCAATAAAATAAAATAAAAATAAAATAAAATCCATATTTCCTTACAAAAATGTACCATTTTAAACGTGTTTTAAGTTCCTAAAAATGGAGATGGGGTGGGTGGGCGGGGTTTATATTTTGCGTTTTTTTCCTAATATAAATTGTATTCTTTCAACAACACGATACTCAAAAACATGTTTTTAATTTCTTGTAAAGAAATAAGTATTTTGCAGATGAACCTAGCCCATCTGGTTCACGACGAATAACAAAAATCATCACTATTGAGATAGGGTGGGTGGGTGGGCTTACTTTTTGGCTTTTTGTTTGAATATGTATAGACTTTTTTCACAACATAAAACTTAAAACATATTTAAAGTGGAAAATTTGTATAAAGAACTATCGATTTTGCAATTAGGCTCCACCCCGTAATTGCAAAATCCATATTGCCCTGTGAAATGTACCATTTTAACCGTGTTCTCAGTTTCTTGTTGTGAAAAATGGCTATATATATTCAGAAAAAAACGCCAAAATATAAGCCCCGCCCAGCGCCCTATCTCAATTCTGATGATTTTTTGTATTCGTTGTAAACCGAGAGGTGGAGCTTAATTGTAAAATCCTTATTTTTCTATGAGAAATTACCATGTGAAATATGTTTTTAAGTAATCGTGCTATACAAAGAAAACTGAAGGTATTAATTAAAAAAGAAAACCAAAAGAGAAGCTCCACCAATCCGTCTCGATCTCAATCGTGATGAATTTTTCATTCGTTGTTAGACCAAGGGGCGGAACGTAATTGCAAAAGCGATATTTCACTGTACAAATTCACCATTTTAAACATGTTCTAAGTCTCTTGTTGTAAAAAGTTGGCCACGTATATTAAGAAAAAAAAGGCAAAATATAAGCCCCGCCCACCCACCCTGTCTCAATTCTGATGATTTTTTTTATTCGTCATGAGC